ATGTAAGCCTTTGTATTCTCTTCTCTTAATGTCAAAGTGTTCCTTAGCATCATCTAACATGTCAAGTAATTCATCTTTAGTGGGTTCATCATCATCATCACTTTCACTTTCATTATCATGTTCCTCATCACATCCATCATCACAAGTTTGTACCTTAGTGACCTTAGCCATGAAGCAAGTCGATGGAGTGTCGAAGAGAGAAGGCTTCTCATTGATAGCAATGCTTGCAAGAGCCTTCTTCTTGGTGGTCTTGTCATCATCACTATCATCATCATCATCACTTGAGAAAGCATCATTATCCTAAGTGACCATATATGAGCCACCCTTCTTCTTCTTGATGGCGATCTTGTCCTTCTTCTCCTTCTTGTCCTTCTTCTTTCTCTTCTTGTTGTCATCATCATTGTCGCTATTGTATGGGCATTGAGCAACAAGATGATCCTTGCTTCCACACTTGAAGCACCTTCTTGATTCTTCCTTTTTCTTGGATGATGACTTCTTCCTTCTAGCACGGTAGCCCTTCTTCACCATGAATTTGCCAAACCTCTTCACAAAGAGAGCCAAACCTCTCCACAAAGAGAGCCATCTTCTCATTGTCCATATCATCAAAGCTTGAATCATCATCTTCACTTGATGTATCTTACTTGGCCTTGCCCTTTGATGATGATGTGGCTTTGAATGCCACACTCTTCTTCTTCTCATCCTTCTTCTCATCTTTCATCTCCTTCTTTTCTTCCTTATCATCATCATCATCTCTATATGTGTCATCGGTCATCACATCTCCCAACACTTGGTTTGGTGTCATGGTGTCCAAACCACTCCTCACTAGCAAGGTGACCAACATGCCAAATCTTGATGGTAAGCATCTCAAGAACTTATGAGAGAAGTCCTTGTCCTTCACTTCTTAACCAAGTGCTTTGAGATCATTGACAAGCACTTGGAGCCTATGGAACATCTCTGGCACACTCTCATCATTGTTCATCTTGAAGCTTACAAACTTTTCTTTGAGAATGTATGCTTTGGCGCCCTTCACTGCTTGAGTGCCCTCAAATGATTCCTCCAACTTTTTCCAAGTCTCATGAGCCATCTCAATGTTCTTGATTTGCTCAAATGTTCTCTCATCAATTGCATCATGAATGGCACTTAGAGCAATGTCATTGTTTTGGAGTACCATATCTTCGGTCACGGTGGGATTCTCTGCATTGGCAATCTCAATCTTAGTCTCCACCACCTTCCACACATTTCTATTAATTGACTTGATGTGTGTGGTCATCTTGGACTTCCAATATGGATAATTTATGCCATCAAATTGGGTGGCTTCTTGGTGTTGCTGGTTTGAGCCATTTTGACACCGAATGTTGTTAAGCCTCAAATCACGGTTACCACGGCTCCGATACCACTTGAAAGGTTCTAATGTCTAGAGAGGGGGTGAACAACCTATTTAAAATTTCTAAAACAACACTAAGACAAGTGATTAGTAAATAAGATGGCGAAGCGAATTTTGTGCTAGCACTACACTTGTATTGCAAGCCACCTACCCAATTCTAATTTCTATGATCTCTAGTATATCACACAAGAGCTAAGTCACTATTTTACACCTAGGTGATCAAAACTAGCTAGAGAACTACAACTAAAGAGCTACACTAGCTACAAGCACTACACAAGGTAAATACAAAGTAATGCGGGAGAATGGTAAAAGTGATATACCGCCGTGGCAAGTGATCAATCAATGAATACCAAAGAATACCAAGGATACAATCAAGACATAATGAAATTTTCCTCTAAGGTTCACTTGCTTGCCGGCAAGCTAGTCCCCGTTGTGGCAATTCACTCACTTGAAGGTTTGTGCGCTAATAGGCATCACATGCCTAACCCGCAACCGAGTGCCACACAATCAACACAAGATGATGATCCACAAGCCACGCGCAATTCACTAGAGTTGCCTTTGTCGCTCCACCGGGGAAGGCACAAGAACCCCTCACAATCACAATGATCAGAGCTGGAGACAATCACCTTCCTCCGCTCGATGATCCACCAATCACCGGGCCATCTAGGTGTCGGCAAACACCAAGAGTAATAAGATCTCCACCAGCCCAAATCGCCCAACTAGTGCCACAAGATGCTAGACTACTAAGCAATGCACTAGAGGCTCTTCAATCTCACTCAAGATGATGAAATCAAGTGTGTAAGTGAGTGGAGTGGTGTGCTCAGCTCTCAAAGGGTGTATGCAGCTATTAGAAGTGCCAAAAGAGTGGCCAAGGCCAGCCACACCCTCTATTTATAAGCCCACAAGCAAATAGAGCCGTTACCCCTTGGAGCTAGCCTCTGCGAGGTCACTAGACATGGCGGTGGTGGCACCTCCCTAGGGGTCGTGGTGCCCTCCAACGGTCGAATCTAACGGCTAGTTTGACTGGCCATGGTCACCGGATAGGGTGGCGGTGGCACCGCCCCTGGGGTGGCGGTGACCACCCAGCCAACCCCCAAAAAAACCAAGCCTCTGGAAAAAAACGGCGGTACACCGCCCCCACAGCGGCGGTGACCAAGACAATTTTCCCCACTCTCTGGGAAAATATGGCAGTGCCATCGGACAAGGTGGTGGTGCCCCTGGCAGTGCACCATCCCGCCTATGGAGGTGCACACCGCCCCTTCCGCTGCCAACCTCAGCTCTAGCTCCTCTCGGCCACGTCCAAGTGAGCACCGCCCTAGGTGTGGCGGTGCCCCTGAACAAGGTGGCGATGCCCCACCCGAGCACCTCCTTCTCGCCCTCTCCAGCTGGTCACTGCCACAGGGGTGGCGGTGTACCGGACAGGGCATGGCGGTGCCCCCGGGGCAGCACACCGAGCCCGACAACGCCTCCTTTTCTTCACCTTTTTCACCACCTTTGCAAATGTGCTAATACTCCGAGTGTTTCACCATCACGTGCAAGTGTGTTAGCATTTTCACAATCATTTTTCAAAGGTTAATCACTTTCTCACCGATTGTGCGCTAGGCCTAAAATGCATATGCATGTTTTCCAACACCTGGTGGCACTAGATGATTGAGTTGTCCGACAAGAGCTCCCCTCTAATAGTACGACCATCTATCCTAAATGTGATCACACTCTCTATAGTGTCTCGATCACCGAAAACAAAAATAGCCCTATGGATATCACCTTTGCCTTGACCCATTTTGGTTTTTCTCTTTCTTCTTTTCCAAGTCGCGGAGCTTGATCATCATCACATGTCCACACCATCACCATGGACTTCATTTCATGTGGCCATCTCCATCATGAGTGCCACCTAGCTCCTTCATTTGGATTGGACCATCCTATCCTAGCTCCTTCATTTGGATCTATATATGTGGGCCCATAAAAGGTATCAATAAAAATTTTATCAAACTATAAAGTTTTAGATCTCGTCAAGCTTTATAATTTTAATATAATTGTGCCTTCATCTGGCTTTATTTGATAAGGTTATGAATTTATTTATGTTGCAACTATTTTTTTAAAAATGATTTCTAAGGATAATTGACTTGGTCAACCATCCCTAAAAATCACCAATATTTAGGGGCAGTTCTCTTAAACTAATATATTTTTTGGGACGGTTTACTTAACATAACTGCATCTGGAAATGTATTTTTAGGAGTGGCTTGTAAGGAATAATGCCCCCGGAGTTGGTTAGGATAGTTCGTCAAGTAAACTGACCTTGAAAAAAAATAGGAGGCACCTGTAAAAATTATTCTATAGTAGTGAGTGAAAATTTCTTCCCCAAATTTTGGTCCATCATACTCTCTCCTTGCCCGTCCAAGTGTCCTTTTCACTCATAGGGTTAGAATAGCGCACATCCAACCGCGATACGAAGTCTGATTCCAAAACGTATTAGAACAGATGATGCAAGATATAAATTCTGTTGCAACGCATGTACATGTTTCATATCTTTACCTATAGTCTACAGTATGTAGAGAATACTAAAGTATAAATTTTTCTTCCTCTGTCCCTTGGTTCATCGTTCTTCACTCCTACCACTCTTCTTCTGTCTCTTGATTCAACATCTCTCGCTTAGTTTGAACTTGCAGAACCTTACTAGTGTCCCACTATTCTTGTGGCCTAATCAGCCTAGTCCGAGCCCATGCACGTTGCAACTTGGCATGCATGCGTGTGGCTATCCTTCCGTTTTTAATCTCACAACAGATGTAGATAATAATCACCTATTTAAATTGAGTCAATCTCTAGTCAATTTTCTATATGGGAATAATTCTTTATTGCAGTTAGCATTTATTATGGGTTTTAAGATTAAATTAAATTTTGATCCTTGCGCAACAACGAGAAAACGTTGTAATAGGCCCAATTTGGTTGCCAAAGGTACATGTTGCAACCAAATCGTGTTCGTTAGCAATGGATGCAATAAGTCGCATTGCAATAACGTATTGCAACCGTTGCTAGTTTGGCGTTGCAATTGTTGAGGTTTATTGCAACCATAGTTCATTGCCAAGCGTGTCAACAGGATATTGTTGCAACATTCATGATAGTGGCAATATAAGCAATTGTCACGCACGCCTGTGTTGTAAAGTTTGGCATTGCACACACACATAAATGGTTCTCAATGTTATGTTGCACCTTGGCAGTACGAGGGCACCCGCGATGGTTCGAGCGAGTAAACGGCGTGTGAGAAAAGTGGCAGATAGGATACATATATTTTAAATGGTAGCACACAGGCACACAGGAAAAGTGAACAGCTTTTATGTCTTCTAGAGACCCATATAATTTGTAGCGCCATTAAGAGAATTTGCTCTTTATCTTTCTCATTTTTATATACACAGATCTTGCCTGCAGTCTACCAAAGATGGGCCGATCAATAGCTTAATCGCCAGCAGCATCCCAATGAAATCCAATAAGCAGATCCTATGAGATAGCAAAACAATCATGCCATCTATACCTACTCTGCAATACCATCCTGGAATAAACACCAAACTGAAGAAAAAGGGAAAGAATAGACAAATGTACGGTTGGGGTCGCCCAGTTATTGCTACTCGTCCTGCTCTTCTTCTCGGTGCGACGGCAAGCCTTGGCTTCTCATGGTGTGCGTGCTCGACGTCGTCATGGCGTTGGAGGCCGACGCTGACGCTGACGCGTGCGATGTTGCGGACGTAGACGGCGAGCTGGTGCCGGACGACGACCCGGCAGAGTAGTGCGAGCCGCGCAGGCCGTGGGGCCTCCGCCGGTACCGCGACCCGGGCACCCCCGGACGCGTCGGCTCCTCGAGTGTGCTCTGCTTCTTGGACAGGATGATTACCACGCGTTTCATGTCCGGCCGCAGCCGCGGGTCGGCCTGCACGCACAGCAGCCCGATGCGCACGCACAGCTCGACCTGCTCCGGCACTGCCGACGACTTGACAGCGGGGTCAAGCAACTCCAGGCTCCGACCTTTCTTGTACAGTCTCCAGGCCTGCATCCATTAGAACAATGTAAGCTAGCTAGCCATGAGGAGGATGGGGAAAGCAAAGAGTAGACGAGTGCATTAGCATTGCATATAGGACAGGAGTACGTACGTATTCCAGGAGGCTGTCTGCCTCGGCGCCCAGGGGCGGGACAAAGGCGGAGTTCTTGCGGCCCGAGACAATCTCGAGAACAACCACGCCGAAGCTGAAGACGTCGGCCTTGGTGGAGAGGTCACCGTGCATGAGGTATTCGGGCGCCATGTACCCGTTAGTGCCGGCGACACGGGTATGAACACGAGAGTGACCATCGCCGGCCTCCGGGAAGAGGCGGGCCATGCCGAAGTCGGCGATCTTGGGCACCCACCGGTCGTCGAGAAGGATGTTGCTGGCCTTGATGTCGCGGTGGATGATGGGTGTGTGCGCGTCCTCATGGAGGTAGAGCAGGCCACGCGCCACGCCGACCACAACCTCGTGCCGCCGCGGCCAGGTCAGCTCCGCTCGTCGTGATCGGTCGCTGTTGCTGCTGGCTGGAAATGACACAAGGGCGAGCAGCGTCAGCTTCAGAGGCTGAGAGGCATATGCAGAATTGCAGATATACAGCACAGAAACAAAAGAAAGAAAGAAAAAGGATCAATGTTCTCTCGTGCGTCTCACAAATCGGAATAAACGATCCAGAAATCGCAGTGGCAGAAATAAAACGCCAACTTGTGGATGGTGAGAAAACATTCCGCGCAATCCAACTTACGGTGGAATCGTGAAAACTTCCTCAAAGAATTTGTTAAAAATTTTCAGTACACTCAAAACTCAGCACATTGAATTCAGTAGGATGCCCTTGGCCCAGGACACCTACACATTTGGGCCCAACTAGACCCAGATAAGAGGATGCTTCTTCTTGGCTCCTGCACAACAAGTCAGACTACAGCAGCAGTAACCGTTCCACGTGGAGTCAATAAAGCTCATCTAAGCAATCCAGTCCGCATACGGTGTATCCAGAGAAACGCACGTTCCAGTGCGAAAACCCAAACCCCGTACTACCATCTTTTGTCGTCTCCCACAAGCGTTCTTGCGTCACGCTGACGATACTCAGGAGTCAGGAACTCAGGACCAGAGGCCAGGGGAAGAAGGGAACGCGCGCAAGCAAAAAGCGTGTCCGGTCTCCGGTGGACCGCGTGCGCGCACACGGTTACACAAGAGGAGTCAAACACGCTGTGAATGGAGCAGTACCAGTAGACAGTAGTGCAGTACTCTCTATCCCAAGTACTAAGACCGTGTCCAACAAAATCCAAACATGCTCTGTAGTTAGAGCTGATAGAGCACTAAAGTCAGTGCAATTATGGGTCACAGCGTCCACGCCCCGCCACCGGCCTGCAGTTTGGTGCCGGACTCCGCGTATCGCCGGTATCGCCGGTTAGCCAATCCTGGCGCCGTCGACCATAGACTTCCCCTAGGGTTTTGCCGCATAGGTACCTAGGTCGGGATCGGTTTGTGGCTGCGCTGTTGCGTGCAGTTCACTCGATTGTTTGCCCTCTGATCTGTTTGCATGGCATCGGCAAGAGGTGGCAGTTCGGGGGAAGGAGCCGATGCTCCAAACCCTAATGTGACTGACTTACTGCAGAGGCTCAACCTCACCGAGAAAGAGGAGTCCGTGATGGAGTTCGATGACATGGAGGATGAAGGGGAACCAGCGCCGGTGGAATGGGCGCTCGTAGGGAAGGTGCTTCCGCCCTCGCCGATGCACGTCAATACGGTGAGATCGGCGATGAAACCCGCTTGGGATAATCCGGTTGGTCTAAAATTTAGGGCAATCAGGGAGAAGGGAGACATGTGGCGGAGTTTGGAAGTGGTGGTGAAATGGAGAGGGTGCTTTCAGGCTCGCCATGGATGGTTGGAAGGTATGCAGTGCTCCTGCAAAAATATGATGAAAAGCTCAGTGCATCGGAGATTGCTTTTGATCGCCTTGAGCTTTGGGTGCGCATCCTCAACTTACCGCTGGGCTGGATGAATCAGACAAGGGGCTCTCGGGCCATGAGTTTGATTGGCCATGTGGTGAAAATGGATGTCGACGTGGATGGGAAGGCCAGTGGTGCGTTTCTGCGTGCTCAGGTGGCTATCGAGATTGATAAGCTGCTGCGACGTGGGGTGCTTCTTCGGATGAGTAAGACGGAGGAACCACGTTGGTTTCATGCTCAGTACGAGAGGCTTCCCTTTTACTGCTTTGCTTGTGGTAAGATTCGTCACTCGGAGTTGGGAGTGCCCAACGCCCGTGCCACGGGATGAGCAGGGCAAATTGCCTTATGATATACAGCTACGAGCTCCTGAGGAGAGGAAGCGGCGTGTGCAGTCGTTTGCCGGGGCTATAGCGGAGTCTTTGGGGAGTGGGTCCGCTTCGACATTCCGCTCTCAGAAAACTCAATATAGTAAGTCCAGTGAAGCTCGATCCTCAATGGGTGATGGTTCCCGTCACTCTAAAAGCTACATGGGGGACTTGGAGGACCATGAGGTCATGTCTCCTCTGAAACAGCAGGCGAGGACATCCCCACCAAGGAAGGGCTCTAGAGGTTCAGGGGCTAGTAGACAGCTGAATATGTCTGATGATGATGGTAAAAGACCACTCCCACGCAAGAGGAAATCCAAGATCTCCTCTCTGGCTCAACAAACTCTTGACCTGAACATTCCTTTGGGCAAGTCAAATGCGATTGTCCCAGTGGGTCTGGTGAACTCCAGGGTGAGTCAGCTGGATATCGCTGGGGACAACAGTGGCGGTAGTATGATCGAGACACTCAAGAAGCAGAAGAGAAGCAAAGGAGCTGCGATTTGTAAAACTAAACGATTCTATTTCATGTTGGTGCAAGATGTGTTTGTGATGAATATTTCTTTTCTAGATTGGTGATCTGAGTAAATTTTTTCCCAACTTATATCGCGGGGACGGGGACCCCGTCGGGGATGGATTCCCCGCTCGGGTTCGGGGATGGGGAGATAATGTCCCCCGCGACCTTTGACAGAGACGGGGACGGGGAAAATCTTTCCCAACGGGGATGGGGATGGGAAGACGATACTCGACGGGGAATTCCCCGTTGACATCTTGAGGCGCGGCGCTGATGCTGCAATGGCAGCTAGGCGTGGGTTGACCAGGTCAAAGAAAAGTCGATGATCCGTTTGTCCCGGGGCACAAGAAAAGTCGCTTATCAGGCGTAGGACTAACTTAGGTAGTCCCAATGCTACATTAATTGTGGTTTGTATCCCTGTTAAACGAGGTACCACCTAAACAAAATGCTGACCTGATAAATCAATTAACGAGGAAAGAGAACCAGAACAGATGAAATCGTTTCTTAGAAGGGAAACGACGTCTTCACATGACCCGATGCACGAAGAAACGCTGCAATCTCCGTTGGGAAGAAACCACAGAGTGCCCCGCGCGCTCGCCCGCACCGACCGCGCCCGCCCGGCCCCGCTCGCCCACGCCGGCCGCGCTGCTCGCGCCGCCGCGCGCTCCCGCACCGGCCTCGCCGCCGGCCCCGCTCGTCCGCGCTCGCTCGCGTCGGCACCGCTCGCCAACGGCGGCAGCGCCGCCGCGCCCGTGCCGACCCCGCTCGCCCGCGCTCGGGCGTCGCGTGCGCTCGTCTGGCGTCCGCGCTTGCTCGCCCGCCGACGCGTGCGCTCTCTGGCGCTGCCGCACTCGCCCGTCCACGGTCCGCCGGGGGCGTGCGCTCGTGTGCGCGTTCGCGCTCGGCTGCCGCTCGCGCTTGCCTGCCCACTGCCGCGTGCGCTCGGCTTGCTTCCTCTCCGGTGCCGCTTGTCTGTGCTGTGCGTTCAATCGCGTGCTTCTTGTCTCTGCTCTGGCTGGTCGTGCTCTGGTTGGCAGAGAATGAATGGAGAGAGGGCATCGGAGAGAAAGGGCTAAGGGAGAGAGAAAAAAAGGACCGATATTTATTGCTCGAAGACATTACCATTGTATAAGATAGTTTCCATACATAACTTTTTCTGACCGTGGTCACGACGAAAACCGTGCATAGTTCCTTAATAGAAAATTATCTTTATTCGGTTAGCGCAATTAGTCCAGGTTTAGGCAGCTCCTTTTTCTTTTTATTTATTAGTTGGATCTTGATGTAGATTGCGATGCCCGCATGCAGTCTACGGTGTACTTCTCTGGTCACAAAAACTAACAACGAATACAGAGAAGCTAGTAGCTCGTCAGGGTCATGGAAAAGCAAATGGACTTCATATTCTATTTCTACCTTCGATAGCAAATGCTGCAGAAAGAGTCTAATCTGACGATAATGATTGTTTATGGGAAGCCAAATGCCTAGGACTCCCTCCGTCCACAAAAAAATACAATTTTGCTTTTTGAGAAGTCAAATAATTTAAACTTTAACTGAATTTATATAAAAAATACTAACATTCATGATATAAAATAAATATCATCATATTGATTATAGAATATATTTTTATAATAAATTTATTTGGAGATATAAATATTAATATTATCCACTATAAATTTGATCAAATTTAGACTAATTTAATCAATATGATTTTCATAATTACATTATTTTACGGACGGAGGGAGTATTACCTGCTACTCGATCCTAAAACCAACATGTTTCATGAACTACGTCAAAGGCTAACGTCAGAAGACTGGTCGGGTGGACCCTTTTGGCCCTACATGATGTCATGATCACAGCCCAACTGCACAAGCTAGGATTAATGGTCATCGAGACGGGTGCTGCCGTGCTGGTTAGTTATGACCGATTGACCCTTGGAGATAAGGACGCATGCATGCACGGACCCGGTTGTCGTGCTTCCCCGGCGATTCAAACAATGAGAACGCGTTGTTGACCCCCAGGCTCAAGAGTGACACACGAACGCACGGAAATACGAGGACAGAGCAGCACGAGATACGAATATAGGCCGTGTTTAGTTAGGTGAAATTTAAAAATTCGGCTACCGTAGTATTTTTGTTTTTATTTAACAATTAATGTTCAATTATGAACTAATTAGGCTCTCGTAATTTTCAATCAAACTGTACAATTAGTTTTTTTTCGTCTACATTTAATGCTCCATACACGTATCGTAAGATTCGATATGATGGCTACTGTAGTATATTTTTGGGAAAAGTTTTCGTGAACTGAACAAGGCCATAGTTAATCTTATATTGATCGAAAAAATATAATCAATCTTATCTATCCCAAAAGTATATATTACTCGTAAATCCCACTCGCACTATAAAAATGGATACAGGTGGTCCCGTTCCCAGCCGGCTGTATGTCCGATGCTCTGTACCGAACCAAACAGGACTTGAATTCCTCACGTTTGATTGAAGTATGAACTTTATTCGGCCAAACTGGCCTCACTGTGAAATGTGAATACCCGGCCTCCCATTCACGCAAGCAAGCGACGAATGTGTGACTTGTGCATCATCTCATCGTTCCCTTTGTAGTTTGTACTTGTACAACGAATCAAATCAAACAGCCGCCTTGAGACGTAGGGAACAGTACAGCGACTTTTCCTGGTACATTGATGCCCAACCTACCGTCCCCTATGAAAAAAAATATCGCCACCAACCACGTATCGGCCGCCTCTGTTTTCAATCTGAGCAGACGGATTGCACTAAACCACCTCTGATCTGGTCTACAAACTGCGAATCTAATCTCTCCCTATGAATGAAGTGGCAATTAAGTTTAACCCCTTTGTGCGTGAGATCGCACGAAATAAACGGGAATCGCGATCGATCGACCAAACGACCGGCGGAAATTGACTGCGCGTGGAGAGGGAGAGAAACAGAGACAGGGAGGGAGAAGGAGCAATAGGGGAAGGAAGGGACTCACAGTGTGCGGAGGAGGAAGGGGAGAAGAGGATCTTGTCGAGGCTCTCGTTGGGCACGTACTCGTACACCAGCAGCTTGTCCTCCGCCCCGCGCGCGCAGTATCCGATGAGGTTGACCACGTTCCGGTGCTGCACCCGGGACAGCAGCGTGGCCTCGTTCCGGAACTCATGGGAGCCCTGCCGCGACCCGGCGCCCAGGCGCTTGACGGCGACGTCGCGGCCGTCCTCGAGGCGGCCCCGGTACACGGGGCCGAACCCGCCCTGCCCGAGCCGGTTCTTCTCGGAGAAGCCCCGCGTCGCCGCCGCCAGCGTCTCGTACCGGAACGCGCGCTGCTCCCGCGCCGCGATCGCCTCCAGGTCCGCCTCCTCCTCCTTCTCGCGGCGGGACTGGTCGGATGAGGCGCGGCGGGAGAAGGGGCGGGCCAGGCGCTCCAGGAGCGACCGCGGCTTCATGCTGGCCTCCTCGGCGGCCAGCGCCTCGGTGCCAGTGGCCGGTGGGGGTGGGGACTGGGGAGGGTATTGATGATACCAGGCAGCCGGGTGAAATACGTACGCCGCGGGGAGAGGTGGGCGGCGGCGGGTTCTTCTTCTTCTCCCCCTGCGCGTGCGCGTCCGCGTGCTCGAGCGCAGGCCGCGTCCGCAGTCCGCACCTGGGGCTTGAGGCGAGTGGTGGAAGGTGGGGGATTTGGGGAGGGAAGCGCGTGGCGGCGTGCGGTAGCTGCCTAGCTCGGCAGACGGCACTGCAGGCAGGGCTTAAGCGAGAGGGGGAGCCGGGGAGGCGGTGGGTGTGGAATTTTCGTCGGGGTCGGGGAGACGGGGACTCCAAGACCAAGAGCGCAGCGGGTCAAGCGACAGCTGGTGCTGCCGCCACTTCAAGACCCGTCTCTGTCGCGGCAAAAAAGTCCAGGCGCCAGCGCGTTGACGAACGCCGTGGTTGGGGTTTCGGCTCCGCCCGCCGGTTCCACAGACAGGTCTATGTTTGTTCGATTGTGTGTTTTGTTTTTTGTTTCGTGAAGCTGTTGGTTGGTTTACGTGAAAGAAAAAATACTATTCTGATTGAAAATTTACAATCATTTACGACGAGCTATAGTCAAACGAACATGCCCAGAGAGAGACAGCCCGCCTGGCCGCCCTCGGCGTCCGTGGGCGCGCAGCGTAGCACGCGGCGGCAAGCGGCATGGAAGATTACGTGGAGCCGTGCAGGTCGGGTCCGGTCATGTCGCACGGATTCGTAGGAAACCGGGAGGAAGCAAGCGGCACGGCTGGTCCGACCCGTCTCCGTTTACGTAGGGTGTTGGGATTCAACTCCTAAACTCCAGTCGCTATCGTACGGAATGCTTGGTTAGAGCAGGAGCCAGGAGGGAGTCGATGCTCACCCACGTCCGTCCTGCTGTAGCCACGGACCGTACAGCCATCTTTCTACGGCACATATACTGTACGAGTGCAATGATGGTCCGGACTCCGGAATAGTGAGTGATTAGCTGCGCAGCTGCGTCCAGCCGCACTGTTGCATTTGAGCTGCGTTCCATAGCTCGTGCTACCAGATTGCGCCCTACGGTCGCAGTTGCAGGCTTCCAGGGCCGACACAGCACAGGAGAATGAGACTGGTTGCGGCACAGATTGCCTGCCCGCCGGCCGCCGCCGAGTATCGATCTCACTGTGCCTAAGGCTAACTAGTACCGGAGTAGTAGTACGTAGTATCCACCATGCTCCCAGTACAAATCACAACGGACACCTGTGACGGTGAGTCAGCAAAGTCAGCACTCAGCAGGACACCAGGTCAGAACGATTGGGATCGAGCGATGCACGCATTTCTGCGAAACAGACACCTTCTTGACAAGACTTTCAGCTTATTCACTGGTCGGTTTCTGAGTTGATAAGTCCGACTGGCGTTGATTTATTGTGAAAGAAAAACAATATTGATTGGTTGATAAGCCCTGACTAAAACCAATAAACGAACAGACGGTTTAACTTCAACCGGAGGTTTGGTCGCCGCGCACACGTAGACGCACCGCTGCCATGGCTCTGCCCATCAGTTGCCAGATCCATTGGGCAAATATTCTTCGATCCACACCACAGCTTCCTTATTGCCCTAGATGAATGACGATGGTGACGACGACGGTGGTGGACTGGATGGGCGCCTTCACTACCAAGTACCAAGTACCACCTGGTCCAATAATCCATCGCTACAACTACAAGGTCATTGCATCTCGGATCACCACTTCCACTTGATCGATCCAAGTACTACTAGTAGTAGTAGTATATACAAAGGCGATTGACACTTCGACAGTAACCGCCAATGACGCGATGGCGGCCTTCCATCGCCTCAAGATGGCTTCTTCTGTTTATTATTAGGAAAAAAAATGAGATATGAGATAACGATTGAACAGCGTTATCCGCTCTCCCTGAACTAGCGGCACATATAGACCTCCGGTATGGTTCACACTTCACTTGATCAATATCTGGGTTTGCAGGCCTAAACAGGGTGACAACTGGGAACTGAAAACGGAATCCAGTATTATTTACCGTACACATGTCAGCATGCCACGTCTACCTCGTAGAACCGACAAGGTAATTACTAGCTGAATTGCACAGAGTGAAAGATATATATATATATATACACACACTGTGGCATGCATACGCCACTCACACGAAGCAGTGGCGGAACTAGAACTTTTGATAGGAGGGTGGGACAATATGATGACACGTCGTAAATACGATAAATATATACAACAAGTGTATGTCTTAATAGTTTTTTTTAACATTTTTACATATATATTTAATACTCATAATGAAGAAACACAATATGGTCATAAAATGTGAAATAATAACTTTTTTCTGCTATGTAATTGATTTTATTATATGTATTAAAAAAATTCATTGTGCTTGGGGTTGGGGGGGGGGGGGGGGGGGGGCCCCTGCTGAGCCCCTGGTTCCGCCGGTGATAGGAAGCTACTACAATGTAACCTATCGAAATCATCGGATGTTTAAGATAAACTAATTAGCACGGGCACGATAATGTATAAATGGTTAGAAAATTATTGTCTGTTTTTGTTTGATCATCGGTTGTTCGTTACTTTGCTGAATGCAACACTCGGCCGAACATCTAGACCAAAGATATTTCCGTGACATCCTAACATCAGGTCGTTAGTTGAAGGAACGAGGGCACTTAGGCAGTGTTTCGCATAGCTCCCTAGAAAACAGTTCCACTCTTAATTTTTTCGGCTAAACGCCTCAGCTCCGCGAACTCTAGATCTGCTAAAAACGTGGATCTAGCTCTCAGATCCACCAAATCCATGGAGCACCTCAAGGGGTGCTCTAAAAACTCTAATTTCATGGAGTTGATAAAAATTACTCACCATTGTCATCTGTTACACAAATGTACCGGTTCGATTTCTTTTCTTTCGCCGCGGCATCTTCATTCGCGTGCTTCTTTCACCCGTCACCGCGCGCGCCACAGTAAGTTGACAAATGCTTTTCCATGCTTGTTTTCGGCAGTTCTATTCTAAAAGAAGGATGTTGTGCAATCATATAATCTCGAGATGCTCAATGTACAAAATATGATAATGAGTAATCGCACTATTCGAGTTTTCTTTAAACTTGACATAATCCTATTTATTATAGTCTCGTGAATGGTTTGAGACCAACTTCAAACCGAGCTGAGCCGATGTCGAAATTCACTCAAAATTCACTCATTTTTAATTTTAAAACAAAAATAAGTTCAAACATAGCATTTTTTTAAACATCCCAATGAGCCAACCTAGCGAGCCTTTTTTTTGTCAAGCACTAATGACAATAACACCATGCCAAAAACTCTCAACATAGCTTCAGTTGAGCCAAGCAATAGACATGAGAAGAGTTAAAGTGGGATTGTACTAGGAGATGGACAAGAGAAGAATTAGGATAGGTTTGACTTGGCCAATAGCAGATGAAGAGTACAAGTAAGACAACAACAACTTTAAGAGAGATGTCGAGGTATAGACCACAAATCAGCGGCAAGCTATCCTTTCCTTGAGGTGATTCTCTGGACTTAGATTTACCTTCCATTTCCACCTAATTACTTCACGATTCTAGAAATTATCGTGAATTAGTTTGATTATTGATGTGGTTTCGATTTGTGAATCGATTTGATCTATACACCAACTATCGAGATCTCATTTGCACATGAGGAGACAAGATCATCCAATGTTATTGAAGCGGTAACTCTATGCACTCTCATGGTCTCTAAACAAAATCATTTTTATTAGACTGTCCAACCCAACGTGATCAGCACCGTGGAAGTGCGATTGGACGATGAAAAGAGGCAGCAATTCAGATCACGATACAACTTTAAGAGGTCAAAAAGTATTACGGGATAGCTCGAGGGGGGTTTCTCAAATTATTGCTAATTTGCGGGCCACCGTAACAGTACCGATCTCCGCCGCTAATGGTCCATCCATCGGACAAGCTGCGAAGATTTGGATCGAGATCAGACGGACGCAAGAGATGCCAGGTCGTACGGACTATTAACGGCGACTGGCGCCACGGGCCCACACTGCAGTGGGCTGGCCGCCTTCACCTAACGCTCTGGTTCGTCTCCCACTCCCACCTCGCGCCGCTGCGGCGCTCGCCGGATTCCGCCGCCCAGCCCGCGTTCTCCTCGACCCAACCGAGTCCTGACAGGCGGGTCATTTCTTCAGTGATCGTCCACCAGTGCGCCATGGCGTCTCTGATTTCTCCCTACCTCTCCGTCCCCACCGCCCCGGGGCGCGCGCGCCTTGCTGCTCCGGGGGCGCCGCGGCGGCGGAGGATGGCGGTGGTGAGGGCGAAGATTCGGGAGATATTCATGCCGGCGCTGAGCTCGACGATGACGGAGGGCAAGATCGTCTCCTGGACGGCCGCCGAGGGGGACCGCGTGGCCAAGGGCGACCCCGTGGTGGTCGTCGAGTCCGACAAGGCCGACATGGACGTGGAGACGTTCCACGACGGCATAGTCGCAGTCGTCCTCGTACCGGCCGGTGGGACCGCCCCCGTAGGCGCCCCTATCGCCCTCCTCGCCGAATCAGAGGAGGAGGTCGCGCTGGCGCGGGCTCGCGCTCAGGCCCTCTCGCAGGGACAAAGCAAGGAACCCTCTCCTCCCCATGCCGCCGCCGCTCCGGGGCCACCTCCTCCAGCACCTGTGGCGCCTCCAGCGACAAAGGGCATCGCGACACCTTACGCCAAGAAGCTCGCGAAGCAGCACAGGGTGGACATCGCCGGGGTTGTCGGCACCGGGCCACACGGCCGCGTCACGGCGGCTGACGTCGAGGCAGCTGCTGGCATCAAGCACAAGCAAAAGGTCGCGCCCCCTCCACCTCCACCCCCTGCTGATGTTGGCCCTGCGCCACCAATGCCCGTGCTGCCACCAGTGCCCGGTGGCACGGTGGTGCTGTTCACGACAATGCAGGCTGCGGTGAGCAGGAACATGGTGGAGAGCTTGAGGGTACCAACGTTCCGGGTTGGCTACTCCATGGTCACTGACAAGCTTGATGCACTCTATGAAAAGGTACAAATTTCTATTGATCTCACGCAGAGCGTTGAATTTCATACCTCGACCATGCTTTTCTGATTGAATTGAGTTTGATATAGGTTAAGTCGAAGGGCGTTACAAAGACAGTGCTGCTAGTGAAGGCGGCAGCTGTGGCGCTCACCCAGCACCCTGTAGTAAATGCTAGCTGCAGAGATGGAAAGAGCTTCTCCTACAATAATAATGTCAACATTGGAGTGGCTGTTGCACTCGAGGGTGGCCTTCTTACTCCAGTATTGGAGGATGCTGATAAGGTTGGTGCTTATTGCAGTGGATGAATTGCCTGTGAAGCAATGCAGCATTTTAGGGTATGAGTGGATTGTCGAGTGCATACAATTTACGTCTACTAAGTAGCTCCAAAAATTTACATGGCAGCTGGATATATATCTGCTTGCGCAAAAGTGGAGAGTGCTGCTCAAGAAGGCACGCATGAAGCAGCTTCAACCAAATGAATATAACTCTGGTATACAACATATCCTTTGATCTATTGACATAAGCTGTTCACGAAAACTTTGCTTACCTGAAGAGCTGACTGTCTGTAGGGACGTTTACACTATCCAATTTGGGTATGTTTGGGGTGAATAAATTCGACGCAATCCTTCCAGCTGGTCAGGTGGGTTTCTTCCCTGGTGTCTGCTGTCTGCCTAGTTACTATGAAACGTTGATAGAATTTTTTTGATTTATGAAACACAAGAAGATTGGTTACATGTAACATGGCTATATGCAGGGGGCTATCATGGCTGTTGGAGCATCAAGGCCTACTGTAGTGGCTGATAAGGATGGTTTCTTTAGTATCAAGAGTGAAATGCTGGTTAGTTTGTTCTCGTATCTATAATTTGTGTATACCAAAGCTCTGGTTAAGTGGTTAGTGACTGTTGTTTAGTATTTCTGGCGTTTACATGTAATTGTGAAGATCAATTGGTGTATGTGCCTTAGCATATTTCATTGAAGTCCTGTTTTCATCATACCTACCAAAGCTAAACACAGTAGCGTGTTAGGAAATTTATTTTGTCAATACCATAGCTAAACCTTAAGGCATTTAACTACAATCCCATACCAAAAAAAATGTGATCAGTCTGCTTATTCCATAGAACATGTAAGTAAATCTATTTCATAAGGTCAATTCACATATGAAATGTATGCAAAACAAGATTTGGTGACTGTGCCTGAATTTAAGGGGCATAGGGTGTAGACTTGCTTCAGATGCATGCTTCTATGTTAGCATGGTGCTGATTAGTTTTTTTTTTTTGGTATCTAAGTTGGTTTTTATACTAAATTCATAATTATGTGTTGTGGTCAATTTTTCTTTGGTGGTATCATGGCATGATAAAATCAAGAATTACAATGCTTGGAATCTATTGATAACTGTTTTTTTTTTGTCGTAAGTACATACTACTGAATCCTTTTAAATTTTGAATTGTACATGCTGATCTCCAATGATGTGTTATAAATTTTGTTTTTCAATAAGAACTACTATTCTAGATCTATATAAGAATTTGTGTACAACACCACACCATCCTATTCTCAAAACAACAACAAAGCATTTTGTGCTGAGCAAGCTGGGGTAGGCATCATATTCACAGAACAGGGGCCAAAAAAAAACGCACTATCTTGGTCCATTATAGCAACCAATTTTCCTTGCAGAGATGGTGCTCATGATTCTAAGTAAGTTGATCCTGACATTTTTCAGGTGAATGTTACTGCTGATCACAGGATTATCTATGGTGCTGATTTGGCAGCATTCCTGCAAACATTTGCAAAGATTGTTGAGGATCCTGAAATCCTCACATTGTAAGGAAAGTTTCATACAGCTGTTCTCAATTTTTGTATTCACAATTGGAAGAGAATGCTAATATAGATAATAAAGAGATACTTTTTAATGTTTTCTCCAAATAGAGAAATTTGTGTACAGTTTATACAGAACTCAAAACCTGGATGCTCATTTTCAATTCGCATTTATCTTTTCTTCTTGGAGGTAGACCCTGATTCAAGAAACCATTAATAGTATGAACACTTTGGGGGCATTAATAATGATAGGATTCTCCCTGTCCAGTATCTCGTTTGTGTCTCACAGGATGATGCTACTAATTCGCAAGAAATTCAGCAGATCATTTTTTCCTGTTTTGAGCAAAGTTAAAGCAAATGAGCATAGCCTCTCATGTTGCATCAGATGGACTTGTAGAACAGTACTGAAATTTCTGGCTACTTCAATAAGCCTTACAGTTACAGAACAAAATGACGCAGGATTCCTATAAGTTACAAGAAGGTAAAACATGCCAAGCACGTGCTTACGTGCTCTGAGGCGGGCCTGCCTTGCTGAAGAGAATAGCAAGCACATGCTTCCCCTGCCAGCCTGCTAGAGGCCTAGAGCTCCAGAGTACGTATTGGTGGCGTGGCTCCTTCAGGCCTTCAGGGCATGTGGCCGGGGCCGCCTTCTGGGGCTGCCGGCGAGGCCTCGCTGACGTCGAGGATCTCGACGCGGCGGTTGGTCCGCTTCCTGATCTTGATGGCCACGTCCTGCGGGCTGAAGGCGCCGCACACTATGACCCGGCCATGCTTCTTGTCGATCAGGTGGCTCTCCAGCTCTGTAAAAAAAAATGGTTCAGAGAAGTCTCCCAAACCGAGGTTTCAGGCATCATCACAGATGGACAGCTGGAGTGTTTACCTTGCATCTGGAGGAGCGCCCTCCTGATCCTCTGGTAGCACCCGTTGCAGTCGATGTTCATCCTCAAGGTCATGCAGTAGGGCTGCTGAAGAGTACAGGAGGGTACACGTCAGTCACTAACTGCCTCTCAAAGTTTCAGCTCTCGAAAACCATTTAGCTAGGACTGACAGAACATAAAACCCTCATGGTGGTACTCACCCTGTAGTCCATGGAGACTGATCGAGGAGCTCTAGCTCTTCTCCCCTCGGCGGCGAGACGGCGATGGCGACGCGGTTTCGGCTGGCCGGAGGCGAGGTGCAGAGTGTGAAAAAGGCCTCAGGGAGAGCGAGGACCGACCACGAGTGTTGTTAAGGGCGGCCAGCAGCGGAAAGGAAGGGATTAGCGTGCGAGGCGTGGCTTGATGCTCGCTTTGGTGTGCTTTGCTTTGCTTACTGCCCTACTTGACTACCTGTGAGCCTGATCTTTTATGACCACTTCACTCGAGTGTGATTCATTCCCGTGTGGGCTCGAACGATGTGCTTTCTGGGAATCAGATTCTGGGCACCAGCAGCGCAGGCTGGCTTCCGTGCAGTGTGCCCTTTCCGCTTCCACACAGCTTTTGCTACGCCTGCTGTTCTTTGGCGTGTTGATTTGGACGGAGGACCTGCTTATATGCTTTCGCATTTTTACTCTCAGATTCACCGACCCCTACGATATATTCCTAGTATTCTCAAAGTCCTGTGGGACGGTTAGTAGTAAGATTTCTGCCTACTGTATCATTGTACGAGACGGCTATAAAACATTGAAGTTGGGCCTATTTGGGTTGACGGTATCGTTTGGGGAAGTTTGGATTATAGCTCAAATTTCGACTAAATGCAAAAATTTCCAGCAAAACACCTCTCAAGCCTGAACTTTTCAGAATGCAAAAGGCATTAATTGAGCTAATCCTAAGTTAGTTTGCGACTTTAAAAAGAGTAGTCTGTGATTTACATCTTCCAGAATAAACCTTTCATGGAAGTTACAATCTGGGGTGTTTCTCCACGTCTCAGATTAAACTGAGCCACATCTATCCTCTACTCAGCTGGTCAGCACTGATCCAACACCCTACCGAGCTCGAACAAACCAGGGCAGACCAATATCCTGGGGCTTCTGGTAGGAGAATCACTGAATCGGAGAGCGCACAAAATTGTTGGAAGGGATAGTGAGACGCTGAATTCTGAATTCACGGCACCTCAGTGGATCCTGACAGATCTGATGGGATTGAGCCTTTTTTGCTTCCACAGTGAACTTACTGTGTCCACAGAATTTTCTCCCCTCTCAGTAATATGACGCCAATGCAACAAAAAGAAATGCAACCAAGGTAGCGAAATGAGGCGATCTCTACCAGGCGAACATGTTATGTAACAATTGCCTAACCTTCCACAGCCTTTACCTTGGCATGCTTCTGCAATTCACGGAGCATGCTTATACTCGCTTCCTGATCTTCAGGACGAGGCCATGCCTTCACAATGCGGAAGAAATCCCTGATGACAGAAAACTCGTCATCGCTCTGTGCACTTGCATGCTTATCTTTGGACATTTTGTGTCGCTTCCCGTAATTGGCCTCAAAGTCACTTGACTTTTCATTCGCTCTTTGAAGCACCGAAGTAGGTATTCCTGAGTATCAAGGGCAAAGACAGCAAATGAGCATGGCAGTATGTGTCAACGTAATTCGGCCTTAGGAAAAGAGCATTTGAATTCAGAGCAGAAGAAATTGAGAAATGAACACATTAACTTGAGAATGACCTGCTAATCGAGCAACATTTACACCATAGCTTTTAGGGCATGCACCACGTGTTAATCTATAAAGGAAAGTCACTTCTTCCAGACCTCCTTCTCCCTCGACCACCTCGCATGCCATATGACACAACGATACCTGCGATGTTCAGTATTCATATATGCAGGTTACAACATTAGATAAAGTTGTATTAAGAAACAACAAAAAAAAAAAGACAAGGTATGTATCAGTTACCTTGGTATCCTTGTGTTCCATTGCTAACCTATGGTAGTGTGTAGAAAACAAGCCTAGACACTGCACCTGATGAACTAGATATTCCAGAACTGAGGCCCTGTTGTAGCAAAGGCGAGTCAGTGATCTCATAGTGAGCATTATTAAAGGTACATGAGACTACAAGAGAATGAATAGATATCAGGAGTAGGCAGCAATCAATGTTATGATCAGTAATTCAACTTACGCGATAGCTTGTCCATCAGAAGTCGATGTACCCCGTCCAAGCTCATCTAATACCACAAGAGAATTCTTGGTAGCTGATGACTGAGGCAAAAGTTGCACACGGTTGAGAACATACAAATTAAAAAATTAATATACGTCCTCATATCTCGAAGGAAGAACTTACAAGCACCGAGGCAGTCTCCTCGAGCTCCACCAAGAATGTACTTTGGCCAGCCATAATATGATCCCTTGCTCCCATTCGAACAAAGATACGGTCAACAAGAGAAAGCTCAAGGCTTTCTGCAGGAACATCTGCTCCAATCTGGCAAAGAATATGAAGTCAGTTGCCATGAACAAACAATGCTGATATAGTGATATACATGATAAAGATGGTGGATTACCTGAGCCAATATAATGGTAAGACAAACTTGGCGCAGGAGAGTTGATTTACCACCCATATTTGGACCAGTAAGAACAATAAAGCTGGCATTCCCTGACCCACCTATCTTAACATCGTTTGGTACAAATGAACCCTTGCCTAAGGAATCACTTCGTAGAATGGGATGTCCAAGATTTCTAGCATGGAAAGTAGGAGTATCGTCTGGGCCATTTAATTCTTTGATAGTTGGACAGCAACTTGGTCCCTCAAAATAACCACTTGCAATAGCAAGACTTATCAATACATCAAGCTCTGCATGATAAAATCAAAGGCAACATTTAGAGCAGAAAATCTACCTACACAATGAATCTGGTATACACAGCTATGCGTCTTTGTTAGAAGTACAGCTAGCATTCTCTTTCAAAAAAGTACAGCTAGCATGATAACAATTCTTTACTAGCCACGCATCAACTGACATACGGGTAATATTTAGTCATTAACCAACATCACTGTTACTTGTTTACCCTTGACAATAAAGATTTCCATATAGTAGGACGCACTCGCACAAACACGCCTTTTAGAAGAAGGAAACAAGATGATATATAATTGGCAGGTGGTCAGATGGTCTATGCAAAATTAGAACTTGTTTTCAATAAATCACTCCAAAATTAGTAACATAGAACATCAAACAAATTCTCAGTACTTTCTTTCAATAAAATAACAAATCAAGGGTACAGTAAAATAATAGAGAGCAATTAGGAGGAAACACCATAGAAGTATAGAACATTAGGAATATTGCTAACCTATGGTAAACTAAAACTGTTGTAATAAAATACAGTGCAAGAGAAAAAAAAAACAATATTGCATGAAGCGTTACCAGCAACAACAGAAATCAACTGCCTCCACTCAGTGTGATGCTCAACAAATAGCTGAATCAGATTCTGAAGAATGCCTTTCAATTTCGATTCTTTCTCTGACTCAGCCTTTGAAAGTTCTAATATTAGTTCGTTCAGTACCGGCGTCCGGTACCGATAGAAACCCTGGTTGGAACATTTAAAATGTCTTAGGACTTCAATTCTTAACATAGACCCCAGTTTGAATCGAACATCTATGAACCATATTCAATAAAATTGTCATGTGTTCAGGCAAAGTAAAACAAATATGCAGTAGCTTAGCACAAAAGATGAAAGAAAGAGAAATGAAATTGAACCGCTGGGATCCAGGCAGTCATTGCACATATAGGAATTCAGCAATAGATGATAAATAGTCAATTCTGACCATTAAAGTCTCATGTTGTTTTGCGGCTCATCTCCAGATCAGTTGCCGGGAGGAACACAGATTTCAAAACTAGCCCCAAGTAAACCGTCGTCGAACTCCAATTAATATAAAAAACAGAGGACTGAACTTTGAGGCATGACGATAATGTACCTAGTTTATGCACAACAGCACAATAATGTTGCAACTAAGCATTTAGTGTTTACCTTTTTAAGTTTATCAGCAAGCATCATTAACACCTTGAACTACATTACAGATTACACGGTAGTAGCAGTAGTAGGTCAC